GGCAGATAGTGATAGGAGACGGTGCGGTAAGAGTGGCTCATGGAAGATCGAAGAGTCCATTATATTTCTTTACGCTGTGTTTGGTTGGAAAATTTGAGAAGGGATTTAAAAATAAAAAATAAAAAAATTAGGTAAAATGTAAATAAAATATACTTATATTTTACATAATTTTGTACACTTTTTCTTTTTCTTTTTTTAAATCTCTTCCTAAATTTCTCAACTAAACACAACGTTGAAGATATCATTAGCTATTGAAAATTTAGCCCCAAAAAAATTTAGGATGTGTTTGGTGGAGATTTCAAAACTCAATTTCACCCCTTGATTTGAGTGTGATATTTGGTTAGAGTTTTTAAAAATTGATATCACACTCATTTTTAAAAACACGTCTACTCGGTCATTCTCCCAGACGTCCAGCCCGTTGACTGGAATAGTGCTTGTGTTTTTTTTTTTTTTGGGCACCTGTTATTTTTATATTTTAAATAAAAAATATTTTAGGAGTTTTTATGAGTTTTGAATAGAATTTTAGATTGTGTGTTTGGTTATGAGTTGTAAGTTTTTGAATCAAATATTATATATCACATTAAAAATTTCAAACTCAATTTAAAACTCATAACCAAACAATTTTTTCACACTCAAAATCATAATTCTAAAACTCACAAACTCAAAATACAACTCTATTCTCAAATCATAATTCTAAAACTCTACCAAACACTACCTTAAACTTTAAAAATAATTTTCATCTTAACCACAAGGGAAAATTATGAAGGGGTGGTTTGAAATTTGCTTATTTAGTAAGTTTTTTATTTTTTATTTTTTTATGAAAAAATGTACAGAAAAATAAAAAAATGATATGACAATTTGTAACAAATAAGTTTCTTATTTAGATTGTTAATAATTTAGGATCTAAAACAATAATTAAAAGTGGGGCCTTTTATATAATAATTTTTTAAATAAAATTTGTATTGAAAATTTATTTTTCTAGCTTTTTAAGATGCAAAAATATTAATTAAATTTTTATATTTAAGTTTTGCTAACAAATCTTTTTCAATTGATAATATAATAATCCATAGAATTTTTGTCTAAATTTTTTGTTATATTTTTATTAGTTGCAATGAATTTATTAAGAGCTCCTTTTTGAGATTGAATAAGATTTTCTATTTTTCTTAAGTTTTTCATATCCAAATTCATATTTTCTATAAGACATTTGTTTTCTCTAAAAAAATAAAATAAAAACACATGGCCTATTATATTATATCTGAAAATTGGGCCCTTTTGTTTTGTTTTGGGTCTTTTTATTTAAAAAATAAATAATGAATCACATGGGCCTATTACTCTTTCTAAATTTGGGAGCCTAAAGCCTGGACTTGACTGGCCTTATGATCCAATCGGCCTTGATTATGACTTTCTTAAGAGTTTAGTCTCAAGGAAGAAGTCATGAGTTCAACTCTCCCTAAGAAGAGTTGAATTAGGAAGTAAGCACTTAGTGCTTTATAAAGGTGGATGGACTAACTCCCATAAGTGCTAACAACTAATAACTGACTTTCGCCGTTCAAAAAAAAAAAGTAGCATCATTCTCTGTTTTGTAGATCTAAGAGAATCTTGGCACCAATGCCATGAACTTAGGATTATAAGGCAATGGAAACTTCTCGACCATTTCAAAGTTTTGCTAGGAAAAAACGAAAAAGGGTGTGTTATTGAGGACAGTTGTTCTAACCTGTATCACTTCAACGTCGCACTATCCTTTAGCAACTCTCCATTAGTGTTCTAGGTTTGTTTTCTTGACTGCTTTTCTTTCATAGCTTGTGTTGTTTTCTCTATGCAGGTTGGTGCTAGTTTATGGATGTTTGCAACCTTGGGCAAAACGAAGAACTTCATTGACATAAAAAAGAGTATGTAAGGGGAGATGCATACAAAAGCAAACAGATCAACCCCTATCTGAGTAAGCTCTTATAGATGAAAACAACATTAACGGGAACATAAATGGACGGAACCTCCCTAAGTTGGTTATATATTCTGATCATACATTGAACCACAATTTTTGTCATTCGATTATATGAAGAGGTAATACACTTTGTGTTTGGTTAGAGGGTTTGGGGAAGGATTTGGAAAAGAAACGGAAAAAAACGTGTGAAATTAAGTGAAATGTAAGTATATGTTATTTACATTTTACCTACCTTTTTCATTTTCCCTTCCAAATCTCCCAACTAAACACAACATTAGTCAAATTAACTGAACTTATTTTACTACTACATTTCACCTTAGTTTAGATCTCTCTCTTAAAACTGAGATTTTAAAACTAATAGTTAAGAAAGATTATTTTTTAATGCATACCAATTTGTAAATGACTAACATTTTTTGAAAAGTATATACAAAATTAATTACACAAAACAAAGAAATTAAAATATTGTTAAAAAAATAAAGAATATACAATGGACAACTTAGTATGAGAAACTTTGCACCTCATTAAAAGAAAAGGAGAGAGAAAAAATTAAAATATTGTTAAAAATATAAAGAATATACGATGGATAATTTAGAGCATCTCCAATGGTTGTTGCTATAATGTCATTGCTATTGCTATAATTTGGCAATGAATGGTGCTATTTTGCCAAATCATAGCAATGGTGCTCCAATAGTCATTTGCCATTTTGGCAAATCTCAACCAACTTTTCCTCTAAGTTTGTAGGTGTTGTTTGGATATAGGTTTTTTTGTGATTTTATTTTTGTTTATTTTTTCTTTTGTGACATTTTTTTAACTGTTTGTAAAAAAAAAATTATATATTTATATTATTCCAGATTAGACAAATAAAAAAATTCGAAAATTCGAAAAAAAAAATAAATATAATTCACCCCACCCAAAAACATATTACTACATATTTAATAAATTACACAAAAATAATATTACATTCAGTTGTAGAAAATATTGAAAAATAAAAAAAATAAAAATTCATTACAAAATTAAAAAAATGACATTGGAAATAAAGACTAAATAAATGACATTGCAAAATTTAAAAATACATTATCCCGTAATTATTCATCAGGAAGCAAGGGGAAATAGTAATTTGGACTGCTGATATTTGAGGACCACTTGGCGAAAATCTCATTTTTTCGTATCGTGTAATACACTTTCATCTAAGGGTCCAAATGAGAAATGTTCATAGTCATTATCATATGTTATTCTTTTTTCATCTCATGTTCTTGTCTTCTGATCTCAAAATCATGTTTTTTCATCTCAAGTTCTTTCAGCTCCTACAATGTTTGAATTATTTTTTCTTCTCTTTCATCATTTTTCTTTTCCTTCTCAGGAAGGTATTGGTTAAATGTGTCCAATTGTATGCTCATTTTTTGGACTTTAGCTTGAATGACTTGATTTCTCCGAAATAATTTTTTTGCAGCTTTCCTACCTATAGGCCTTTTACCTTTTTCAGAGACACCACCCTTACCAACAGTTGGATTGATGTCATCTTCAAGAGAAATGCCGTTATCCATAAGGGAATCAGAGACTGAATTAGGGAAAAACGGTGTATGTATTCTTGACTTCACCGTGTTCGTAAGAGTTACATCTTGCCACCTGATATTGTTTTACAAGATTGACCAACAATATTCAAAATCAAAATGTTTATTTTTATCTTGATGGTAGAACAGTTTTAATTGAAGCATCTATATCAATAAAATATTAAATTAATTAATTAGTTAATTTTTATATAAGATAAAATAAAAAAAAAACTAACATAATAAATGAAAATGAAATCTTACTATATCAACTTGTGACGCCCCACTTGGATGTAGATTTTCGACTTGCGCTAGACACTCATGAAATTTGTTGCAACATTTCATGATTACACCCCATCAAGATGAGATAGACACTTGTGTTCTTGAGTGATCATTCTGTAGCGAGCAATAATTTTCAAAAATTCTTCCCCAAAAATGAGCATGCAATTGCGAATTTCCAACAATTGGGTCTTCAGTAATGTGACACCAAGCTCTACAAATTGCCACATCTTCTTGAGTAGTGAATTTTGATTTTGGGTAAAATGTTGCATTATTCAACTTTTTTTTTTTTGATGAATTCTAAAACATAAAAATGGTGAAACAGTTGCTGGGGGAGGGAGGGAAGGAAGGAGGGAAACAGTTGGTTTTGGCTGAGTTGGTACAAAATGGCAACTGCCAAAGCTTGTGTCAAGACACAAGCTTTGGCATTTCTCAAATTTGGCAACTGAAATATTTTGCTATTGGAGCATCAAAATTCAACACAGCTACTATATTATAGTAATGACAGCTCCAATAGCAAACTATTAAAGATGCTCTTAATAACAGAAAATTTGCACTTCATTAAAAAGAAAAGGAGAGACTTTGCACCTCATTAAAAAGAAAAGGGCAGAGAAGGGGAGGGTTTTATATCATAAAACGCGGTAGTTGGTGGATCATGCAATGTCAGTAAATAGAACAAAGAGAAACTAAAATCTTAGAATTAACTTTCAGAAGCGGAAAGTTGGGCAAAAATTGTCCCCAAATGAGGAGAGAGAGAGACTCTGGAACACCTTAGAAGAAAAAAAGAAAAGAAAAAGTTGAACAAGAGCTTTGTAATTAGTGTGCAACTATGATTTTAAAAAAAGGGGGAAGAAAGCAACACATAAATAAGAGGAAAAAAAATATATTAAGACATCAAAAAGTATGAAACAGAAAATAAATAGATGTTTGGTTATTTGATTAAATGGAGAGAGAGAGAGAGAGAAAGAGAAAAAAGAAAAAACAGTAGTCAAATTGTACATTATTTTAAGAGTAATGTTGAAAATTTTAAATGTTTTATCAGTATTTTTATCAAATATCTCACATGATCTTGTTAAACATTTGGTAAAAATGTTGATAAAAATATTTGAATCTTTAGCATTTTCCTTATTTTAATGAAAGATATATATGGCATTGAAGATACCTTCTTTTATTTTTCTTTTTTATCAGCGAAAAGAAATCTTTATTAATGAATAGAAAAATTCATCAAGAAGAAGAGCGAAAAATTGACTATGCATAACTGGAGAGAGTAGTCTAGGACAGATGGACATGCTCAGAATTACAATAATGTACAAACATCTTCAAACTGCAACATTGTTTGAATCTCTAAAAGCTTAATTTGTTTTTTTCTTATCCTATTCAATCCGACATGACTTATTAATATCTAGTTTGGACAAACTGTTAAACGTGTATTTTAAGCCACAAACACACACATACAAACAAAAATTCACATACAAAACAGAACAAGGCTTATACATTGGATTGAATAGGATCGTGATTAACTCACAAATCTGAATACAAATCGTGTGCATCAGGGCTAGAGCTCTTCAAGTTTGATGAACTTGATTTGACTTGACTAGAGGATCTCGATAGGATGAGTCGCGCTACATTCTCGGCTGCAACAGCACTTGTTTCCATGGTACTGGCTGCATTCTCAAATGAATTCACATAGTACAAATGCCGGCCATCCAAAATAAATGGTGCAAACCTTTCCGGAGCCTTGTAATGAGGATAAGCTCCCCAATTTATTCTAATTGTCGCCGTCCGCACACTACAATGGCAAGAATTAACAAACCATCAAACATTTTGAACATTCAGATAAATTCAGTTATCTGATTGGCCTATGAAATTAATGAAATATCTGCTAATTAGGCACTCAATTTATTATGCGATGCTTGCTCACATCTTCAAACTATCAAGTCTAATTTTCCCACTTCTAACAGTTCCTTTTAAAACATTAGGCTGTGTAATTGCCACATTGGCACATATTAAATAACTCTTCCCACAATGCAAAGAAACTACTAAAATGAAAAAAAGGAAGTAATAGCTGAGTCTTTCCTGCAACAATTAAATGAGATTTACGGCTTACCTAAAAATGCGATTGAGCAATGCATCTGCTACTGTTTCACGGGAGAATATCTTGTAGCTCATATCATTCTTACTGTGTTGCTTGAGAACAGAAATGCTTGTGAATGGAATATCAGAATTCTCTACAGTGCCCACCAGTTCTGGAATTGCTGATGCAGAATGCAGGTCAAAATATGCCTTGGCAACAGCAAACCGTCAATAGTTAGAATATTGAATGATGATATACAGTAGGGGAAAAACAGCGTAACTAAGCATACGAGTAATGAATTTTTGAATGCTAGAAGTAATTGTTAGAATACTCACTGGATTCAAGAATCCCCTCACAAAAGTTGCATGGGTATGTTGTAATTGCCTATTAGGAATTAAAAATGCAGGTGTAAAACGAATATTTATCTCATCTAGGGGTGTAGCAACCACAGTGATATCACATGTGTAACTATTTCCATTGGTTGAGTTAAGCTCATAATAATCTCCAAGGTAAGAAATTGATGCTATTTCTTCATTGAGGTGCAATTCAACATCTGAAGTATTAATTAATCCAGCAGCCATCTGCCAGTTCCCTCCTTCAACTGCCCACAACCCTCCCCCAGATCCTGCCAATGAAACCGCACCAGCAAATCCACTGATGCTGACACTTTGGCCATAATTGATTCTCGTGATTACCTGAAAAAGTAAATAGAATTTTGAATTCTGATGAATTATCAAAATATTAATGCAGTCCAACTCTAAGCCAGGTTGAAAGTTGACATCTCACAACTTCAACAAATTCCGAAGTATTTTAAAAGATTGGCATAAATATGATAGGAAAGACTAATGCAAAGTGTGATCTTTCAATAACATCCAATTAACAGAAAATTATGTCTAGTGTTAAAAATAATCACTGCCTCATAACCAGCAAATGGCATGTCCTTGTATCCAGCAAATCCCACAAATATTTGGAAAATGAAATGATGAATGCTATACCTATTCTTTAATTGTCTCTTGCTACATATTGAGAGAGGAGTTGTTGTACCCGTTTTCTTTTTTCTTTTTTGTTGGTGGGGGGTTGGAGTTTAAATATAAGCGCACGCAAGATTTATACTCTTGGTCACATCAAGCATCAGATTAAAACACAATTCAGGATCTTTGGACCTAACTTCTGCAGATTCATTGGAAGTATACCCACAATCACAAAATATAGCATACAAACTTGAGTTTATTTTGTTAGCTGCAATTACACAAACTGCAACAAATGCAATCAAATCACATCCAAGATCCCCATTTAGTATCAAAGAATTTATTAATTACTTAAGAAAACAAGGTAGAGACAACATAGTTTTTAATCTTCTTTAAAGCTCTAGCCTCTTACACAAACCTTCTTTTTATCCCGACAAGAAAAAATTATATTCAAAACACTCTGGTCTCACATTCATCTATAATGCAAGACCATGATAACAAACAAACTCTTTTTGTTGCAAACCATATGCTTCCTGGAATATCAATGCCCAACACTTACTGATTTATTAGATCAACTCACACACAGCACCCTTTCTGCATTAAAAGGTTATTATTACACAGATAATTTCTTATTTATTAGGAAAGGGTCTTATATAAACCCATGAGGTTCTATTAAGTCCACAGCCATCGGCACTTATAACTATGTATCTAATGTTCTAATCTCTCTTATTCCATTGCTTCTCCTATATTAGTTTTTTTTTTTTTTTTTTTTTTTTATAATTTTTTTTATTATAAATCAGCTGTATTATTATGTTACCAACAAAGAATTATTTTTATGAACTACATGGAATTGTAAGGGATTGTAAATTGCCATGTATAGAAACTCCATTGGTATGACACACAGATCAGCATATTTAGTATGTAACTCCAAAGATTTTATTAGATGTGGAAAGGGATGTTAACTCAACTTTAACAGCCAACCATAAGTATAAACTTCTTTGTTGAGTAACATTTTTGAGGAGATTATGTTATTAGTGTGAGGACTAAAATAGGTTAGCAATTTCATGACTAGTATTGCAACCTTAGGTAGAACCAAAGCCACTACCATGAGAAGAGCATATTGGAGTACCTACGAGTATAGAAAAGGGTTGAAATTTTTTCATAAAAATTTAGGTTGTCCTACGAAGTATAGGACATTCATATTTGATGCAAAGAATACATACAAACAAACAAACAATTTTACATGTGTACTATACAAGTCTATGCACTTATAAAAGCATTCAAAAAATAAGAGCCATCCAATAAGAACATTCTGAACATAGAATTTATTTTTCCCTACCCATATTTTTATAAATCAAAACTTATGTGCTTACTACAACCATTCTAGAAAAGAATAACCAAACTTCAATTATAAGTTACGTTCTTTCATAAGAATTTCAAAGCCCTTCAGACATTATTACTCTACTTCTAATTATCATCAAAGGGTGAAACAGCATTTCATTCCCACCACCTCACCCAAAGAAAAAACCTCCAAAACCACTTTTCAACAGCCATACAGACTATAAAAATATCAAAGAGCATATGAATTCTCTGCAAAATCCAAAAAAATGAAATGTAACAAGGGCCAAATCACCATCACTGTTACTTAACTATCAAGCAAAACCAACAAATCATTCTATGGATTGACACCCTGCACCATTGAAAGACCACCATTTTTTTCCCATATACAACAAATCAAGCATAAAGGAGCCACATTCTAAAAACTTTTACTTCTTTCCAAATTATTCTACTAGCTCTCCAGCCAACAATCATGTCAACCTAAAGCAAAAAACAAGGAGTTTTTAACTCACATTGTAAACCAACATTAAGGAGGTTTGGTACTGAAATAGAAAAATCTTGACTTGGCTGATCCAGTTCAGACATTCAGAAACAGTCCCCATAGTTTCTTTGAAAATATAGATTTCTTGTGTCTTCACATTATAGAATTCAACTATGCTACATTAACACTTTAAAATAAATCAAGTACCCATGTGCGACACTTGAACATTAGATAGGTAAATGTATGGGATGTGTCAAACATCCATCAACACGGTCAGTTAGTGATTTTACTACACACAACGCATAAATAAACTATGCAAATAGACAACAATAAATGATACACGGTCGGATGACAACCATGCTCATAATTGTCACCTCACCTGGTTTAGTTCTTGTTCTTATTCATCTAAACTTTTAAGCCCTTGAAGAGTAACGCACTTCTTAAGACCTTTTTATTTTGAAAACCTTTTATCCCATTAAAATTTTATGCTTAAAAGCCAAAAGAAAAATATTTAAGAAAGAGGAAATGCAACATAGGGAATCAATTATCCATGAACAATGCCAAAAGTTAAGAAAGCAAAAACAAAAAAGCTGAATCAGAAGTCAGCCTATTGTAACTGGGATCTCTTTCATCTCATAATAGTCTCTGCAAATTAACTACTAATTGTTTTATACAAAAAATTGATTTTAAGACATCTAATTGAATACTTGACTCAGTACTCAAATGGAAAGAATCTCACATTGTGTGTGTGTGAATCGTCTTCTTCTAGTCAGCATGCGATATCATAATACAATACTAGTAGTAACTAGTTTTCTTCATAGTCAGTGCATTTCAGTTTCATTGTTCGTCCTTTTGTTTAGCTTCATATAATACTTCAAAGTTTTGATCTGTGTATCTAACCATAATCTATATTGTCAAAAATTATGTACTAATCAAATTTATTGACTACAAACAGATGCATCTGTATCACTTCATAAATTAAAAGCAACCAACATTCAGGAATCAGGATTGAGTTTGCTTTCTACATTTCATTTTCATGTCTACACTGTCATGTACATATTTCCACAGCAGTTCTGTTGTCGATACAGGGGAAAAACTGGAAGCCTGTTTAGAATATAGACCTTCCGATTGATCAGGGCTCCTGAGTCATCAATGACTATAAATGAAATGTCTGGCTTATGCAGTTTACCCTGTCTCTTCAAGTAAGCATGAACACCTAATAATGATGACATTACCATTACTAGATATCTCTGGGCCTCATGGAATTGGTAGTTTGTCCATTCCCTGTATTGGTGATATCTACCTGAATGATCTAGAGCAGTGCGTGATCCCCAAACAAGATCTATAAAGGATAGAGCTGGATCCACCAATTATTGGTTGAACCATCAAATCCCATATCATTATTTCACTTTGAAATTCAAATAGTAAAATTAACAATCTGAAAGGAATCAACATGCCCATAACTCCAACTGATGCTTATTTCATCTAAATGCCCAGTTCAAAAGGTTATACCGTCTTTATGATGCTTGCCCAAATAATTATCTCAGAATAAGAATGGCACTAAATTCATAGAACCACTATGCTAAGTACAATATAAAAATAAAACAAACTGTTACTTCCAAACACAACCAACTAAAAAGACACAGAAATCAAACATGTGAGAGTTAGGGTTCTTACTGTAACAAGCTCTTGTATCAGCAAAGGAGACAACCTAACATCTACCAGTTCCTCTTGCAATGTCCTGGTGGTGAGATTATACAAACCAGCCCATTTAAGCATCTCATCCACACTCTCAAAGACTGGCCTTGATTCACAGCTTTTATAGTAATTTAAGAATTTATCCACTGCACTCTGCACCACAAATATACATTCAATCCACATAGACAATATATATATATATATATATAGATAGATAGATAGATGTAGAGACAGAGAGAGTGTGTATACCTCGACAAAGTTACTCATTTTGAAGAGAGAGAATCCATAACGAAAGAACATGCGGAATGAATTGAGTAGCGATGCGATCTTCTGGAAAAAAGGAAACTTAGAATTCGAGTCTAGGGTTTTGAAGACGAATTTATGGCCGTCCCAAATCCCGAAAGAAGAGGAGTCGTCTTCATCATCCTGCTTGACGGTTAGATTGAGAAATTTGACGAAGTTAACAGCGTGGTAGTTCTTGGGGTGGAGAATGGAAGCTCCGGCTTCGAAGGTGTCGCCGGCGAGGGAGATAGTAGCCATCCTGCCTCCGACGCGGCCGCGGCGTTCGAAGATTCGGATTAGGCCGATGGGAGGAGGAGATTGATCGGAGTATTGGCGGAGGAAGTGAGCGACGGAGGAGCCGCCGATGCCGCTTCCGATTATGCAGACAGTTTGAGGATCAGATTGGACTGAGGATGATGATGATGGAGTGGAGAGAAACAGGAGAGTGAAAATGAAAACAATCATTGCGTTCATCTTCATCTGTAGTGTCTTCAATGGCTCTTCTTTCTTCTTCTCCATTGACTCTGATTCAGAGCATCTCCAATCCATGCTCCATATCTTCAAATATACAATTCCAACCCATCCTCTATATCCTCCTCCATGAAAAAAATGAACCCATCCTCTATATCCTCCTCCATGAAAAAAATGAAGGATCACTTTAAAATATTATTGTCTTTTTCTATTTTTAATTTTGTTTTTATAATTTAATATGTATATTCAATATTTATAAAATTAGTTTCATTAAAAATATATTAACATTATCTTTAAGATAAGATCAATATTAATTATATTTAACAAAAAATTAAATAAAATAATTTAAATTTTAGAGAAAAATTAGGTAAAATTTGAAAGAAAAATGAGAAAATGTTCAAATTTTTGAAGAAATAAAAATGTATAATTAGAATTGTCATAAATAATAAAATCCTTTAAACTCACTTTTTAAATAAAAAATATTATTTTATTTCTCTATATTAGAGAAATAGAAATGAATGAGTTGGAGATGCTCGGTATATGTATGCAGGAGAATATTGATATAGCTATAGCGAGGTCGGCTCTTCCTGATAGGTAGGGATGGCAATTTAAAACTGACCAGACGGGGACCCGACCCCCCGACCCCGAATGGGACGGTTTTTCCCCGAAAAAAACTCCCCACGGGCCAGGAATGGTATTAAAAAATAAACCCCCGATCATTTTCGGGCCGGGGACGGGAATAGATTTCCCAACCTCGGCCCTGCCCCGGCCCGAGTACTCCCCGTATATATCCCCGAATATATATTCCGCATATATATGTGTTTAGGTTATTTTAAGACTCATTTCACTCCTCTCTCCCACTACAAAAGACAAAATAGGCTATTTTAGCCACAAAAAACAAAACATCACATCCAACCCATAATCATTACACTCTTCTCTCACAAAAAAATTTTAAAAAGCCAAAAAGCCAAAAAGCCCTTCCCAAATCAAGCTTTTTAGCCCAGGCTAAAATAGCCAAAAAAGCCAAAAAGCCAAAAAGTCAACCCACTTCCCAAACGTTATAGTATATGTGTTTAGGTTATTTCATTTCATTTCACTCCTCTCTCCCACTCACACTCTCTTCTCTAGGGGCGATGATCTCCCTCTCTCTGCTGCGAATCTGCGATGCTCTCCCTCTCTCTGCTGCGATGCTCACGGCGATGGCGCCGGCGTCGGCGTCGGCCGCTCCTCCTCTCTCCCTCACGGCGTCACTCCTCCCTCTCTTCTCTCGGCCTCTCTCCCTCTCTCTGCTGCAATGCTCACGGCGTCACTCCTCCCTCTCTTTTCTCTCGGCCTCTCTCCCTCTCTCTGAAGATCTGAAGATCTGAAAATCTGAAGAAGAAGAACAGATCTGTATATATATCTGATGAAGAACAGATCTGATTGTTGTGTATATATATATATCTATGATTAATTTTTTTTGGTGATTGTTATATATATATCTGTTGTTGTTGATGATGTTGTGTGGTTTTGTTGAACAGATCTATTCTGTCATCCATTAGACATATTTTTTTTCGTTTTTTTTTTTTTGGGTTCTTGTGTGTTGAACAGATCTGTTTTAAGATTTTTTATAAAAATAATTTAACAATCTTATCACTAATCATAGTGTACAGAAGAAATTAAAAAGGCTACTGCAGTAACTATGCATAGGCTGTATCTATAATTATTTGTATGAGGAGATTTTAATGCTAAACAAGTATTTTGACCAAATCAATAAATGCAGGCATGTGGATTGAAAAAAGTTAATAAATGGTGATCAAGGAATTTTGACCAAATCAACAAATATTGAGTTTTTTTTTAAATAAAAAATTTAGAAAATTAAGATTGAGATATTGGAGCTCCTACAAGGCTTATATATTTACAATTACCTATATATGTGAATTGCGATTTTTAAATGTCTTTTTTTTTAAATGTCTTTTTTTTTTCCTTTTTTATATTATATTAAAGTTTAATATTTTGATAATAATCATATGTGTTGGACTTTTCAAGAATTTTTTTTTATATTTGTTCTTAATGCATTAAAGTGTTATTATGAGGGATAATAATCATATGTGTTGGGACTTTTCAAGGAATTCATATGTGTTGGATTTCAAAATTTTTTTTGATGCTGGTACTTAATGCATTAAAATATATATTTTTTTAAATCAGAAAATTTAGATTGGGAGAGAAGAAATTAAAAAGGCTACTGCAGTAACTATGCACGGGCTATATCTATAATTATTTATATGAGGAGATTTTAAATGCTAAACAGGTATTTTGACCAAATCAATAAATACAGGCATGTGGATTGAAAAAAGTTAATAAATGCTGATAAAGGGATTTTGACCAAATCAATAAATGCTGAGTTTTTTTTTTTAAATCAAAAATTTAGAAAATTAAGATTGAGATATTGGAGCTCCCACAAGGCTTATATATTTACAATTACCTATATATGTGAATTGTGATTTTTAAATGTCTTTTTTTTTTTAAATGACCTTTTTTTTCTTTTTTTATATTATATTAAAATTTAATATTTTGATAATAATCAGATGTGTTGGACTTTTCAAGGGATTAAATATCTTCTTTTTTTATTATATTATATTAAAATTTAATATTTTGATAATAATCATATGTGTTGGACTTTTTAAGAATTTTTTTTTGAAAAATGCTTGGGAGCACTAATTAGTGCTCCCACTAATTAGGTGGCAGTGGTTCCCGCCATTTAATGATGTGATGTTTTGGTCTTGGAGTGTATTTTTTTTTTTTTTACTTTTTTAATGCATTAGTGCTATTAGTGGTGATATTTTTAGTGGGATGAATTATTGTTGTTTTTTTTTTATGTTTGTTTTAATGCATTAAAGTGTTATTATGAGGGATAATAATCATATGTGTTGGGACTTTTCAAGGAATTCATATGTGTTGGATTTCAAAGAATTTTTTTCATGCTTGTACTTAATGCATTAAAATATATTTTTTTAAATCAAAAAATCAGGAAATTTAGATTGGGAGAGAAGAAATTAAAAAGGCTACTACAGTAACTATGCACGGGTTGTATCTATAATTATTTGTATGAGGAGATTTTAAATGCTAAATAGGTATTTTGACCAAATCAATAAATACAAGCATGTGGATTGAAAAAAGTTAATAAATGCTGATCAAGGGATTTTGACCAAATCAATAAATGCTGAGTTTTTTTTTTTAAATCAAAAAATTTAAAAATTAAGATTGAGATATTGGAGCTCCCATAAGGCTTATATATTTACAATTACCTATATATGTGAATTGCGATTTTTAAATATCTTTTTTTTTAAATGTCTTTTTTTTTCCTTTTTTATATTATATTAAAGTTTAATATTTTGATAATAATCAGATGTATTGGACTTTTCAAGGGATTAAATGTCTTCTTTTTTTTATTATATTATATTAAAGTTTAATATTTTGATAATAATCATATGTGTTGGACTTTTCAAGAATTTTTTTTATGTTTGTTCTTAATGCATTAAAGTGTTATTATGAGGGATAATAATCATATGTGTTGAGACTTTTTAAGGAATTCATATGTGTTGGATTTCAAAGAATTTTTTTCATGCTTGTACTTAATGCATTAAAATATTTTTTTTTAAATAAAAAAATCAGGAAATTTAAATTGAGAGATTGGAGTTCTAACAAGGCTTGGTGTTAAAAACCCCTTTTTACTTAATATATAGTATAGACTAGCATATCACCCGTGCTATGCACGGATTATGTTTACAATTATCTGTATATGTGAATTGTGATTTTAATTTTTTTTTTAAATGTCTTTTTTTCCCTTTTTTATATTATATTAAAGTTTAATATTTTGATAATAATCATATGTATTGAACTTTTCAATGAATTAAATATCTTTTTATTATTATTATATTATATTAAAGTTTAATATTTTGATAATAATCATATGTGTTGAACTTTTCAAGGAATTTTTTTTATGCTTGTTCTTAATGCATTAAAGTGTTATTATGAGGGATAATAATCATGTGTTGGGACTTTTCAAGGAATTCATATGTGTTGGATTTCAAAAATTTTTTTTATGTTTGTTCTTAATGCATTAAAGTGTTATTATGATGGTAAGACTTGGGAGTTGTGAGAAGTTAATAAATGTTAAGATTTTTTTTTAAAAAAAAAATCAAAAAATCAAGAAATTTAGATTGGGAGATTGGAGCTTGCACAAGGCTTGGGATTAAAAATCCCCTTTTGCTTAACTAGCATATCACCCGTGCTATGCACGGATTATGTTTATAATTATCTATATATGTAAATTGTGATTTTTAAATTTTTTTTAATGTCTTCTTTTTTTTTCCTTTTTTATATTATATTAAAGTTTAATATTTTGATAATAATCATATGTGTTGGACTTTTCAAGAATTTTTTTTATGTTTGTTCTTAATGCATTAAAGTGTTATTATGATGGTAAAACTTGGGAGTTGTGAGAAGTTAATAAATGTTAAGATCTTTTTTAAAAAAAAATCAAAAAATCAAGAAATTTAGATTGGGAGATTGGAGCTTGCACAAGGCTTGGGATTAAAAATCCCCTTTTGCTTAACTAGCATATTGCCCGTGCTATGCACGGATTATGTTTATAATTATCTATATATGTAAATTGTGATTTTTAATTTTTTTTTAATGTCTTCTTCTTTTTTTTTTCATTTTTTATATTATATTAAAGTTTAATATTTTGATAATAATCATATGTGTTGGATTTTTCACGAATTTTTTTTTTATATTTGCTCTTAATGCATTAAAGTGTTATTATGAGGGATAATAATCATATGTGTTGGGACTTTTCAAAGAATTAATGTGTTGGATTTCAAAGAATTTTTTTATGCTTGTTCTTAATGCATTAAAGTGTTATTATGAGGATAAGACTTGGGAGTTGAGAGAAGTTAATAAATGTTAAGATTTTTTTAAAAAAAAATAAAAAAATTAGGAAATTTGGATTGGGAGATTGGAGCTCTCACAAGGCTTGGGGTTAAAAACCCTCTTTTGCTTAATATATAGTATAGATATATAGTATAGATGTTTTGGTAAGAAAAAAAAATAATTGCATTTTTCCATACAACCCATTCCACCTAATCTCAATAAACTATTTCTGAATTTTTATCTCC